TTATATTGTAGTGTCCCATACTGACTGACTTTCGCCCTCCTGGGCTAAGGTATGCTGAACTGTGTAATTACTATATGAGTACTGGAACACTTGATGATATATTGGACTTGTATCCAAAATTGACCATGTAATGTATCAATCATACAATGTATATATATGATGTAACTATATAACCTGAGCTTGTAAAAGCACCTTCATCACCTTCAGTGATTAAGTGCTTAATTGCACACTAGTTTCTTTATCAGCTATCTCACCCTGTCAGAGTAGGAGAGCCATAAATGTGTGTATTATGTGTGTGTATATGTGTATGTATGTATATATGTGTATATATGAATATGTGTATATGTATATGTATGTGTATAAAGTATATACGGAAGCTGATCAAAATTACATTTCACCTTTGTAAATGCATATTAATGACACTATGTAAAACACACATCGAACACTTTATGTAGGGCATACGTTAATCTGTGTATCTATGTATTTACGTATGTAGGTTAGCTTAACATTTTAAAAGCACTCCAGTCACCTCCTGTGGTTGATTGGTCTATAAACCCTTGAACTATATGTTTAACACTTCTCTAACCCTGTCCATGGAGGACAGAAGAAAATGTATATATGCTGGTTAGCATTGTAAATGTCTGGCCACCTCTGTGGTAGAAAATAATAATAATAAAGTCCTACCCATCTCTCTCCTTTCTATCCATCCCACCTTTCTACCCATCCCACCTCTCTCTCTCTCTCTCTCTCTCTCATCTCTACCTACTCTCATAGGTTTTCCTCTCCCAAGCCTCACTTCCTTGCCACTAATTCTAACTTTTTTCTCTTCCTCCTCTCCCTTCCCCTAAAAAATTCCCATCCTATTTTTCCCCTTCCCATATTTCCCTGTCCCCCCCCCACCCTCTCCCTCCTCCCCCATTAATCCCATTAATCCTCCTCATATTACCGTCGAATTCGAGTCTCGGAATAGTGATGAGTAATGACAATGAATAGTCATTATACACTGACAGTGTGTATACTGTCACCAACAGTCAGTATACACTGACAGTGTGTATACTGTCACCAACAGTCAGTATACACTGACAGTGAGTGTACTGTCAACAACAGTCAGTATACACTGACAGTGTGTATACTGTCAACAACAGTCAGTATACACTGACAGTGTGTATACTGTCAACAACAGTCAGTATACACTGACAGTGTGTATACTGTCAACAACAGTCAGTATACACTGACAGTGTGTATACTGTCATCAACAGTCAGTATACACTGACAGTGTGTATACTGTCAACAACAGTCAGTATACGCTGACAGTGTTTATACTGTCATCAACAGTCAGTATACGCTGACAGTGTTTATACTGTCATCAACAGTCAGTATACGCTGACAGTGTTTATACTGTCATCAACAGTCACACTAATTGTCAAAGTAGAGCAGAGACGACGGTTCGAGCCCCTACCACTGACGTTACTGGCCAGCACTATGGGTAATATCGTCATACAGGTTTTACATACATACAGGTCATACATGCATACATACAGGTCATACATACATACATACATACATACAAACAAACATACATACATACATACATACATACATACATACATACATACATACATACATACATACATACATACATACATACATACATACATACAGGTCATACATACATTCATACAGATCATATATATACATACATTCATACATACATACAGATTATACATACATACTGGTCATACATACATACAGATTATACATACATACATACTGGTCATACATACATACAGGTCATACATACATTCATACAGATCATACATACATACATACATACATACATACATACATACATACATACATACATACATACATACAGATCATACATACATACTGGTCATACATACATCCATACAGATCATACATACTTACATACAGATCATACATACATACTGGTCATACACACATACATACTGGTCATACATACATTCATACATACATACATACAGGTCATACATACATACATACATACATACATACATACATACATACATACATACATACATACATACATACATACATACATACATACATATGCATACATACATACATACATACCCGGTCATACATACAGGTCATATATACATATCATACATACATACAGGTCATACCTACATTCATACACATCATACATACAAGTCATACATACATTCATACACATCATACATACAGGTCATACATACATACATACATACATACATACATACATACATACATACATGCATACATACATACATACATACATACATACATACATACATACTGGTCATACATTTCTATGTATGTAGCACTCTAGTTCACACTGCTCCTCCTGCTGCTAATGCTGCTGGTGTCTAGTATATTTCCTGTTCGTCTTGTCCTCTCCAATACTTTGATGAAACTGGCCGTACACTGAATGACAGACTTAAAGAACACAAGAGAAGTGTTAAGTCTGCAGACACTAACAATGCTCTCTTCTGCCATGTGAGGGATTTTAATTATCCAATTGATTGGTCTTCCTCCAAAATAATCTTTCCTGCCTCTACTCTACACAGACGCCGTCTTGTTGAATCTGCTCTAATACACAATGTACCCAACATGAACTTGAGTCCTGGCTTTGTTGCTGTGGACTCTTCCCTTTCACAGTATATACTCAAATGCTCTAATCTTTCTAACAAACGTGACCTAACATAAACTTACCCCTTCCATTTATCTTTCTTTCTCTTTCCTTTTCTTTCTCTCTTCTCTCTTTTTTCTGTTCATTGTTTTCTCTTACGTTCCCTTGCTATCCTCTTCTTATTCCTATTACTATCTCCTTCTCATTCGGTGGCATAGGAGCTGCCTCGTATGGGCCAATGGGCCTTCTGCAGTTCTTATTCCTACTACTATCCCTACACCATTCATTGCTCCTCAACTCTCTCCTGTCTATTAATTGTCTGCTTCAACTTCCTCACCACAATCGACTTCAAATGGTCCAGGACGGACCGAAACGTCGTCGTCCCTTTACTTTCTAGTGTGTGGTCTGGTCAACAGGTCATACATACATACATACATACATACATACATACATACATACATACATACATACATACATACATACATACATACATACATACATACATACATACATACAGGTCATACATACAGGTCAGTCATACCATCAGGATTGAACATTATAGAGAGAGTTGTCTCTGAAGTTTAAGATTTGTTCACGTTCAGTAGAAGCGATAAGTTTGGGAATATTTCAACTGACAGAGTTTACAACTGATGGGTTCTAGTTCAGGAGACTGTGTAAACCACCGTGAAGCCTTGTTTAAGCTTACCAGTAACAACGAAGCCCACTCATGCCACATATGGTAGACTATGCTACCCCCTTAGTAAGCATTTTCTGTAGTGAACATAAACTCTTAGATGATAATCTATAGTAATATACGCAACTGCCCTTAGATAGTAGTCCCATAGTTTCCACAGCCTTTGGATAGTACACCGGTAGGCTATATAAGCCCTTAGAGGGTATTCCCGTAGCGTAAACTACTTGACAACTCAGTCACTTACTGAGACGGTATTCGTATTCATCAGATTCATATGCTAAACTTTCATGTGATCTGTCCAGTCAACTCACTAATGACGGAGCCAGTTACTTAACTATCACCTTCACCTGCGTGAGGGGGAAGGGGGGGGGGGAAGTGATGTGTGTGTGTGTGTGTGTGTGTGTGTGAGAGACACACAGAGAGAGAGAGAGAGAGAGAGAGAGAGAGAGAGAGAGAGAGAGAGAGAGAGAGAGAGAGAGAGAGAGAGAGAGAGAGAGAGAGAGAGAGAGAGAGAGAGAGAGAGAGAGAGAGAGAGAGAGAGAGAGAGAGAGAGAGAGAGAGAGAGAGAGAGAGAGGGAGGAGGGAGGGAGGGGGGGGGGCGGCGAATGGAGGAACCCCCCCCCCCAAAAAAAAAATGAACGCTCAATTCTACGTATTTGCAGACATATTTAAAGTACATAGGAAAAGGGGGGGGGGGTGACAGCTGGAGTGCTGTCATTTTGTCTGCGCTGTCTGAATACCTCCCCCCCACCCCCCCTACACCCCCCAACACCCCATCCCCCCCTCCTCCCTCACATTACCTGAAAAGGGGGGGGGGGGAGGGGGGAAGGGGGGTGCTTACCCTCTAAGTACTGGCCGGATAAATGAACTTTCCCATCCGGAAAATATGATCGGCGACCCTCTCCTTTTCTCCATTCCACGGCCGCACTTCCTGCTTAGGTTCATGATGCTGCCCCCGGGCGGGGGACTCGAACCCGGGTTTCAAGGTGTCACGCCTCGACAGGTGTTCTCCCAGGTCCCCACACACCTGGCTTCTTCTGTCCCCCAGTTCACACCTGGCTTGATCTGGCCCCCAGTTCACACCTGGCTTCTTCTGGCCCCCAGTTCACACCTGGCTTCATCTGGCACCCAGTTCACACCTGGCTTCCTCTGGTACCCCAGTTCACACCTGGCCCCCCAGTTCACACCTGGCTTCATCTGACCCCCAGTTCACACCTGGCTTCATCTGGCCCCCATTTCACATCTGACCCCCATTTCACACCTGGCCCCCAGTTCACACCTGGCTTCATCTGACCCCCATTTCACACCTGGCCCCCAGTTCACACCTGGCTTCATCTGACCCCCATTTCACACCTGGCCCCCAGTTCACACCTGGCTTCATCTGACCCCCATTTCACACCTGGCCCCCCAGTTCACACCTGGCTTCATCTGCCCCCCCAGTTCACACCTGGCTTCATCTGGCCCCCAGTTCACAACTGGCTTCATCTGACCCCCAGTTCACACCTGGCTTCATCTGGCCCCCAGTTCACACCTGGCTTCAACTGGCCCCCAGTTCACACCTGGCTAATCTGGCCCCCAGTTCACACCTGGCTTCATCTGGCCCCCAGTTCACACCTGGCTTCATCTGATCCCCATTTCACATCTGACCCCCAGTTCACACCTGGCTTCATCTGGCCCCCAGTTCACACCTGGCTTCATCTGGCCCCCAGTTCACACCTGGCTTCATCTGGCCCCCAGTTCACACCTGGCTTCATCTGATCCCCATTTCACATCTGACCCCCAGTTCACACCTGGCTTCATCTGGCCCCCAGTTCACACCTGGCTTCATCTGGCCCCCAGTTCACACATGGCTTCATCTGGCCCCCAGTTCACACCAGGCTTCATCTGGCCCCCAGTTCACACCTGGCTTCATCTGGCCCCCAGTTCACACCTGGCTTCATCTGGCCCCCAGTTCACACCTGGCTAATCTGGCCCCCAGTTCACACCTGGCTTCATCTGGGCCCCAGTTCACACCTGGGTTCATCTGGCCCCCAGTTCACACCTGGCTTCATCTGGACCCCAGTTCACACCTGGCTTCATCTGGCCCCCAGTTCACACCTGGCTTCATCTGGACCCCAGTTCACACCTGGCTTCATCTGGCCCCCAGTTCACACCTGGGTTCATCTCACCCCCAGTTCCCACGGTCATCCTCATCAATCTCCCACCCCCATTCCACCCAAACTAAAAACCATCGTTCGATCATTCAAGCAATTATTGAAGATATTTGCTCTTCTAATAATAAGGAATATCAGGGATTAGTTGAGGCGTGAGTATCAGGGGAGGCCCCTGACACTCCCCCAGTAGCCCAGAGGATCAGGGGAGGCCCCTGTCACTCCCCCAGTAGCCCAGAGGATCAGGGGAGGCCCCTGACACTCCCCCAGTAGCTCAGAGGATCAGGGGAGGCCCCTGACACTCCCCCAGTAGCCCAGAGGATCAGGGGAGGCCCCTGTAGTGGGGAGGCCCCTGACCCCATACCCATCCTGTGAGAGGATGGTACACTCCCCCAGTGGAGGATCCCCATACCCATCCTGTGAGATGGTAGTGTTGACCCCATACCCATCCTGTGAGTGGTAGTGGACCCCATACCCATCCTGTGAGTGGTAGTGGACCCCATACCCATCCTGTGAGTGGTAGTGGGCCCCATACCCATCCTGTGAGTGGTAGTGGACCCCATACCCATCCTGTGAGTGGTAGTGGGCCCCATACCCATCCTGTGAGTGGTAGTGGACCCCATACCCATCCTGTGAGTGGTAGTGGACCCCATACCCATCCTGTGAGTGGTAGTGGGCCCCATACCCATCCTGTGAGTGGTAGTGGACCCCATACCCATCCTGTGAGTGGTAGTGGGCCCCATACCCATCCTGTGAGTGGTAGTGGACCCCATACCCATCCTGTGAGTGGTAGTGGACCCCATACCCATCCTGTGAGTGGTAGTGGACCCCATACCCATCCTGTGAGTGGTAGTGGACCCCATACCCATCCTGTGAGTGGTAGTGGGCCCCATACCCATCCTGTGAGTGGTAGTGGACCCCATACCCATCCTGTGAGTGGTAGTGGACCCCATACCCATCCTGTGAGTGGTAGTGGGCCCCATACCCATCCTGTGAGTGGTAGTGGGCCCCATACCCATCCTGTGAGTGGTAGTGGACCCCATACCCATCCTGTGAGTGGTAGTGGGCCCCATACCCATCCTGTGAGTGGTAGTGGGCCCCATACCCATCCTGTGAGTGGTAGTGGACCCCATACCCATCCTGTGAGTGGTAGTGGGCCCCATACCCATCCTGTGAGTGGTAGTGGGCCCCATACCCATCCTGTGAGTGGTAGTGGGCCCCATACCCATCCTGTGAGTGGTAGTGGGCCCCATACCCATCCTGTGAGTGGTAGTGGGCCCCATACCCATCCTGTGAGTGGTAGTGGGCCCCATACCCATCCTGTGAGTGGTAGTGGGCCCCATACCCATCCTGTGAGTGGTAGTGGGCCCCATACCCATCCTGTGAGTGGTAGTGGGCCCCATACCCATCCTGTGAGTGGTAGTGGGCCCCATACCCATCCTGTGAGTGGTAGTGGGCCCCATACCCATCCTGTGAGTGGTAGTGGGCCCCATACCCATCCTGTGAGTGGTAGTGGGCCCCATACCCATCCTGTGAGTGGTAGTGGGCCCCATACCCATCCTGTGAGTGGTAGTGGGCCCCCATACCCATCCTGTGAGTGGTAGTGGACCCCATACCCATCCTGTGAGTGGTAGTGGGCCCCCATACCCATCCTGTGAGTGGTAGTGGGCCCCATACCCATCCTGTGAGTGGTAGTGGGCCCCATACCCATCCTGTGAGTGGTAGTGGGCCCCCATACCCATCCTGTGAGTGGTAGTGGGCCCCATACCCATCCTGTGAGTGGTAGTGGGCCCCATACCCATCCTGTGAGTGGTAGTGGGCCCCATACCCATCCTGTGAGTGGTAGTGGGCCCCATACCCATCCTGTGAGTGGTAGTGGGCCCCATACCCATCCTGTGAGTGGTAGTGGGCCCCATACCCATCCTGTGAGTGGTAGTGGGCCCCATACCCATCCTGTGAGTGGTAGTGGGCCCCATACCCATCCTGTGAGTGGTAGTGGGCCCCATACCCATCCTGTGAGTGGTAGTGGGCCCCATACCCATCCTGTGAGTGGTAGTGGGCCCCATACCCATCCTGTGAGTGGTAGTGGGCCCCATACCCATCCTGTGAGTGGTAGTGGGCCCCATACCCATCCTGTGAGTGGTAGTGGGCCCCATACCCATCCTGTGAGTGGTAGTGGGCCCCATACCCATCCTGTGAGTGGTAGTGGGCCCCATACCCATCCTGTGAGTGGTAGTGGGCCCCATACCCATCCTGTGAGTGGTAGTGGGCCCCATACCCATCCTGTGAGTGGTAGTGGGCCCCATACCCATCCTGTGAGTGGTAGTGGGCCCCATACCCATCCTGTGAGTGGTAGTGGGCCCCATACCCATCCTGTGAGTGGTAGTGGGCCCCATACCCATCCTGTGAGTGGTAGTGGGCCCCATACCCATCCTGTGAGTGGTAGTGGGCCCCATACCCATCCTGTGAGTGGTAGTGGGCCCCATACCCATCCTGGGAGTGGTAGTGGGCCCCATACCCATCCTGTGAGTGGTAGTGGGCCCCATACCCATCCTGTGAGTGGTAGTGGGCCCCATACCCATCCTGTGAGTGGTAGTGGGCCCCATACCCATCCTGTGAGTGGTAGTGGGCCCCATACCCATCCTGTGAGTGGTAGTGGGCCCCATACCCATCCTGTGAGTGGTAGTGGGCCCCATACCCATCCTGTGAGTGGTAGTGGGCCCCATACCCATCCTGTGAGTGGTAGTGGGCCCCATACCCATCCTGTGAGTGGTAGTGGGCCCCATACCCATCCTGTGAGTGGTAGTGGGCCCCATACCCATCCTGTGAGTGGTAGTGGGCCCCATACCCATCCTGTGAGTGGTAGTGGGCCCCATACCCATCCTGTGAGTGGTAGTGGGCCCCATACCCATCCTGTGAGTGGTAGTGGGCCCCATACCCATCCTGTGAGTGGTAGTGGGCCCCATACCCATCCTGTGAGTGGTAGTGGGCCCCATACCCATCCTGTGAGTGGTAGTGGGCCCCATACCCATCCTGTGAGTGGTAGTGGGCCCCATACCCATCCTGGGAGTGGTAGTGGGCCCCATACCCATCCTGTGAGTGGTAGTGGGCCCCATACCCATCCTGTGAGTGGTAGTGGGCCCCATACCCATCCTGTGAGTGGTAGTGGGCCCCATACCCATCCTGTGAGTGGTAGTGGACCCCATACCCATCCTGTGAGTGGTAGTGGGCCCCATACCCATCCTGTGAGTGGTGGTGGGCCCCATACCCATCCTGGGAGTGGTGGTGGGCCCTCCATACCCATCCTGTGAGTGGTGGTGGACCCCATACCCATCCTGTGAGTGGTAGTGGGCCCCATACCCATCCTGTGAGTGGTAGTGGGCCCCATACCCATCCTGTGAGTGGTAGTGGGCCCCATACCCATCCTGTGAGTGGTGGGCCCCATACCCATCCTGTGGGGCCCCATACCCATCCTGTGAGTGGTAGTGGGCCCCCATACCCATCCTGTGAGTGGTAGTGGGTGGACCCCATACCCATCCTGTGAGTGGTAGTGGGCCCCATACCCATCCTGTGAGTGGTAGTGGGCCCCATACCCATCCTGTGAGTGGTGGTGGGCCCCATACCCATCCTGTGAGTGGTAGTGGGCCCCATACCCATCCTGTGAGTGGTAGTGGGCCCCATACCCATCCTGTGAGTGGTAGTGGGCCCCATACCCATCCTGTGAGTGGTGGTGGGCCCCATACCCATCCTGTGAGTGGTGGTGGACCCCATACCCATCCTGTGAGTGGTGGTGGGCTCCATATCCATCCTGTGAGTGGTGGTGGACCCCATACCCATCCTGGGAGTGGTGGTGGGCCTTCCATACCCATCCTGTGAGTGGTGGTGGACCCCATACCCATCCTGTGAGTGGTAGTGAACCCCATACCCATCCTGTGAGTGGTAGTGGGCCCCATACCCATCCTGTGAGTGGTGGTGGGCCCCATATCCATCCCGGGAGTGGTGGTGGGCTCTCCATACCCATCCTGTGAGTGGTAGTGGGCCCCATACCCATCCTGTGAGTGGTAGTGGGCCCCATACAGGATGATAGTAGGAGGCTACAAGATGACCTAGACAGACTGAATGAATGGTCCAACAAATGGCTACTACAGTTTAACCCGAGTAAATGCAAGGTCATGAAACTAGGCGGTGGAAACAGGAGGCCAAACAAAGGATACCGAATGAGAAGTGAAGTACTTAATGAAACGGACAGAGAGAAAGATCTAGGAGTTGATATCAGTAGTAGGGAGTAAGAGCCACAGGGGAATTTTTGTTTTGGGGAGCGGACCCCTGTGGACTGTAAGATCCACAGGGGAATTTTTTTTTCTGGGAGAAAATTCCCCTGTAGCTCTTCGGGGTTTCAGGTGAATTTGTAAATTCCCCTGTAGCGCTTTAGGGTTTTCAGGTGAATTTGGGGAGTCACAGATTTGGAATTAGGGAATTCTTATAATGAAAAATAATGTCATACGAGTTTGTTAAAGTTCTTATGAGAAAAATAATTTCCGAGACTTAGAAGTTTGTTAAGGCCTTATGGGACAAATTCAAGTAACGTATGTTGCGCTTTAGGGTTTCCAGGAGAACTCTACGGACATGTTTTACATGTTTTCAACTTAGAAAAATCGTCTATGTAAGCCTTAGTTATTCATATAAATTTAGAAAATTACCTGTGCGCGCCAGGGTTTTCAAGTCTCGTACCTCTCACCCCCCTCCCTCCCTCCCCCCTTACCTCGCAATCTGTCGCGTCACCTTTATTTACTTTACGCCCGGCCAGCCAGACCTCTTATCTTATCTTATCTTCTTCATAATATCTCGACCATCCCTCCTCTCTCTCTCTCTCTCCTCCTCCTATTTCCTTACAACTATTTTCAGAGTTTCAAATAATCATAGAAGTTTATTTATATATTTATGACCGAATTTGTAAAAGGATCATTTTCAGAGAATATTGTCTTAGATGTTTTGTTAAGGAAAACAGACAACTTAGCCATAACATTTAGTTTTATCCATTTACGGCTATTTCATCTGTAAAGACCAAATTGAACAGAGCCCGGTTTTAAGCTCATATTTCATCAGAGTCCAGTTTATACCTAAAAATGAACAGAGTCCACTTTGAGAGCAAAAT